AGCTCCGTTTGTTCACTGGTGCTGGCGTTCTCCCTGGCTCCAATATGTCGCTCAATTTCCGCCCCCCTGCTCTCTACACCCCCTCTATGTCCTTCTGCAGGTCTTCCACTGGTACCATGTTCTGCCAGTACATCCTGAGCCGGTGTGCGTATGCTCCCATCCGCGCCGCATCACTGCTCACCCCCTTGCCCACCTGCCTCGTTACTCTCTCCCTCACCAGTCTGACTGGTTCTCGTACATCTCCTTCCATGTCTAAGTGTTCCAGCAGGTAAGCCAGCCTGCCCTGCCTAGCCTGCACCCACTCCATGATCTTGAACAGTTCCTCCATCAGTTTGGTCCTGGGGTCTTGCTCGCCCTTACCCTTCCCTGCCCATGATACCCCCTGGCATTCCCACCCTGCCACCAGCAGATCCACGTGCCCCCAGCTTGCTACCTCAGCTTCCGTGATAGCCCTTATATCGTCCACTCCTCTGCCCATTGCTGCCTTAATCACCTCTCCCTTCAGCAGTTCCGGAAACTCTCTGTGTAACTCCCACGCATGATGCTCCGCTATTTTCCTCACTTCTGGTGCCTGCTCCATGTAAATCCATTGCTTGACTGCAATTCCATTCCGCACCACTGCTGCCAGTCCCGCCCCTATTCCTCCGAACAGTTCCACCAGCCGGATGGGTTGCTGCCAATCGGTCTGTTGGCCAGGCTCGTCCATGAAACGCATCCTGGGCGCCCCGCCCTTTCCTTCGCCTGCCGCTCCGTCCTGTGCCCCCTGTCTTGCTGTCCCCTCTCTCTGATCCGCCCGGTAAGCCTTTTTTGGCTCTGTCTTGACAAACTGCACAGGCAGCTGCCCGAGTGGCTCACCCTTCCTCCACCACCTGGTTCGGAACTCCACTGTCTCTTTCCAAAAGCAAATGGTCATGCCCAATGCAAAAATCATCTCTGTGCCCACCAGCACGTCAAAATTCTCAGATTCTGAAATCCCGCACCTGATTCTGACTGGCGTTTCATGTTTCTCCCCCTTCAGCACCGTCAGTTCTATCGGAGTCCTTGTGCACGGCATCCACTTCGACTCTCCTCCCTCTGCTGTCATCACTAGCATCCCCTTCACCACGTGTCTGTCTGGCGCCCACAGTCCCAGCTTCTCGGCCATCCCCTTCCCTAATATAACGCTCTGCGCTCCAGTGTCTATGATCGCCGTCTTAGCCTTCTCCCCTTCCACTGACAACGCGCCGCCTTGAATCAGCAGCACAGAGGTCTGGCACGCCAACCTCTCCTGGGGGTGCCGTGCCGCAGTGCATCTCTCTTCCTTTTCTTCTGGTTTCTGTCCTCTCTCCCGCTCCTTCCTCACCTGCTCCTTCCGTGCATCCTTTCCTCCGCTGCGCAGCCCCAGCTCCTCCCTTCCTCTCCATGCCATGTACGCTGGTTGCTCTTCATGTTCTACCTCATTCTCTTCTCCTCCTCCCCAAACCATGAATGCGGCTTCCTCGTCCTGCTCCACATCTTCCTCCTCCTCTTCCTTGGCGTACATCCCCGCCTCTGCTTCGCGTCGTGGTCCCATTGCCTGCAGCTGGGCTTGTAGCCTGCTGATCTGCTTCTCCAGATCTTCTGGCGTCTTCTTTGCCGCTCCCTCTCGCTGATAGCACTCTCTTGCTGCATGCCCTCCCTTCCCACAGACTTCACACTTCGGCGCCGTTGGACATTCCCGCCGCTGGTGTCCTGGCTTGCCGCAGGAGTCGCAGTTTTTACAGTCTCTGCGCAAGTGTCCTGGCTGTCCGCATCTGTGGCACGTCCGCGTGTCAGGCCTGGTTTCCCCTCGACCCGCCGCTCTGTCCTTCTCCTCTGGTATCATGGCTGCTGCCCATGTAGGTCGCCTGCCTCGCTCCGCTGGTCGGGGCCGGTAGGCATCATATTTCCTCTGTGCCAGCTCCATCTTCTCTGCCATCTCAAACACTTCATCTAGCGTCGTGTCAGCCCCCATCTCGTACACCTTCATGCACAGCCCGCTCCCCAAAGTGCCCTCCAGCCCGTCCAGGAATTTGCTCACGAGCAGGCCCATATCTGCACAAGTCACATCCTCCGCCAGGTTAACCAGCCGGTTGTAGTAGGTGAGCAGCGACTCACCCCGCCCCTTCCTGAAATCCTAGAATTCCCTTATCTTCGTTAGTTTTCTGCGTGAGTTGCAGCAGCATAGCCAGGCTCGCGTGAGACATGTGATCTCTAAGGCCAACGCTGCGGATATCTTCACAAGTCGTTGCCGCATTGTAACCACCAGCGTTTCTGCACCCAGTTGGGCATTGTGCCTGCACTTCCACACTTGCTTGTTTGAAGATGTTTATCTTGCTTGAGTTGCATCTCTTGTTGGTTTATTGTTCTTGTGGACTGGTCTTGTGACTATTTCTTGTTCTTGTTGACTGGTCATGAACTCTTGCTTGCTCTCAGACTGTGGAGTGACTTTTTATTCACCCTGGGACATGTGTTGCCGTCCACAGGACTGCCGTCACCTAGACTATTGGGATGTGTCAGGCTGTCATTGTTAAAGCCTGTAATGTTTAGTCTATACGGTGCACGGCATTATTAGTACTAGGGTTAGGTTTACTATATCTACCCTTGTACTTGTTTAATTTAGTCATCTATTCCTCCGTTCTTATTTTAACATGTTAGTTTATGGTCTGCGCCACACACCTCCTGAGTGGCACCACTCTTTTTGCCCTCGGTTTCCGCCCATCTTCAACCGACCCGTCACTTTTCGTTCGTTCGGAGCCCACCCGTTTCTTCATTCTTGTTACGTCGACGACTTGGTCTTAGCTACTACACGCAAGGTTGCACTGAATTCAGTGAAGGCTGAATTGCAGAAGAGACACATTTGCACTAACATTCGTGAGCTGCGCTGCTATCGTGGCTTGCAAATCACAAAGGACAGAGCTGCATGCACCATCAATCAGAATCAGCCACACATGGTAAAGCAAGACCTTCAGCAGTTCGTCTTTAAGGTCTCCTCCACACAGCCCACTTCTATTGCCCAGTTGACCATAAACTCAATGATCCTATTCCAGACGAGCTGGCTGAGCCTACTGGTCAGTACCCAGAGCTTGTGAGGTGCCTCATGTACTCAATGACGTGCACTCGGCCAGATCGTCTATCCTCTCAGCATCCTTGCTCACTTTGTTGCGACCGTGAAACACCGTCTTGTTCTCTGGACGAATATAGCGAAGTAGCTGGCGAGCACAAAAGGCGTGGGGCTTGCATTTGGAGCGAGACCGGTGCGACTTACCGGGCACACTAACGCGTCGTGGGCTGACGACGATGAAACTTTCAGGTCTTTTTTAGAGCTACTGTTGTAGCCAGGGCTCAAGAGCTGATCCATGGATATCTACTCGTTCGTCGTATGTGGCTTCGTCCACTGCTGAGGCCTAGATCTACGTCGGTGCCATGGCCTAGCTTCGACTTAGTTGAGCGGCCTATCTCTGTCCGACCTTGTTCGCTGTCAACCGGCCATGATCCTCCTATGTCGGTAGCCCTGACTGGAGGGAGAGAGGGGCATAACGAGCTGTGATACTTTCTTCCGCGTAAGTTGCACCGACGCGGCCATGCCCGGTTGGATAATTTGGCATCAAAGGCCTACACTACCGATATCTTCACAAAAACACTTCAGCCACGCGACTATCATCGGCTCAGAACTCAGTTAGGCCTTGTTCCAGCAGGCCCTCACCTGTTTAGTTGCTGATAATTGTACTCGCTTGCTTTTTATTGTGATTGTAATCTTGGACTCGCCTTGTCACGTTTCGAAGTTTTGTGGCTCGCATGTATTCCTTCTGCCAAATATCCCTTTGTGGAATGTACAATATCACCATTCCAATGCAGGTCCTCACATGGTAATGATACTGTAAGGTGCAATGTTATTCGTGTTAGAATAGATAAATATATATAAAAAAAAGAGAAGCAAAACCCAAAGTCAATCGTTGTCAGGTTAAATGGAGGTGGATTCATTATCTTGGTTTTTGAACAATAGTCGATACGGTTGTTGTGACTGACGTGCTTTTATGCCCCGCATCGTCTTCGTCAATGTCTCGTTTTATGTATGTCGCCTACTGATTCGCATGCGGAACTCGTCCGTGGCATGCGACTCATCGCCGTTACACTTCCGTTGTCGTTCACCTATAGCATCTACTTGTCCAGCTGCGTCGCCACTCCATTTATCAAAGTCAAATGAATTCTGGATTTTTTGAATTGAATGTATAAGACTTGCTCTCAGAAGACCTCTTGTAGCGAGGATAGATTCGTGGTTGGGGCAAGGCGATACCAGGGAGAAGAGCCAGTGTGGACGACGCAGCGCCATCGCCGCGCAATAAGTGAGCCCACGAGTTGAAGCTGTACTAGCAATGAATGTCATGGTTAGACGTTACGTTACGATAGACGAGCGGCAGTTTCGGTGGCAGACATGGTTGGTGCGCGTGATCCTGCGGCAGCGACGTCGCACAGTGACGATAGAGAGGATCGAGAGTGTGGGAGGGATGGCGAGCGCGCAGTGGTCCAGCGGCGTACGTCACAAAAAAACTGAGCTCGCTCGAGCAGCAAAACCAAAGGTCTGCCAGGGTGTACAAGGGGGTAGCATGTCAGAAGTATTCCAGATGACTCTCTGGACATTGCGTTGGTTTGCGGAGCCCTCTCAGACGCATCCCATATATCACAGCCGACGCCAGTCCCGCTGTGCCCGTCCGGTGTGGTAGCAAGTGCAATGACCCTCTTTGAAGCAAGCTCATTATAGCGCTTTTGCAATTATAGGAAACATATATAGGGCTAATGCCCTTACAGCAACATTAAGTGTGCACATAAACATGTGATACTGCACACACACTATAGCATCGTGAAATCAAGGGCTGATAAGTTCCACGAGGCATGCTACGGGGTATCCAAAGAATGAAGCACAGCCACAGTCAGAAGGGCAGGCATACACGCTTCCGCAAGATGTGAACCAGCGTTACCATCGTGAGCCCCTGCTCACCCTCCTAGTCCCGTTCCTCGTTGATAAGGTATGCCCACTTGTTCAGGTACCAGAGGTCTGGCTCATTGAACGACGGAACGCAGTGGACTGCGCGGCAGAGCTGGGAGATGGGGACGACAGCGAGCCCCCGATAGTACACGGGTGGGCCGAGCATCTGGCAGCCTGTGCACTGGTCAAGGCCCTGGGGGGTCAGCCTCTGCAGCACGGCCACCTCTGCTGGCTCATGGTTGCTGTCGTCCAGCGGACGCTCTGCATCCAGCAGCATGAGCAGCCGTCCGTACTGGGTCTGTCCACGGGCCGAATCGTACTCCACGCAGGAGAAGGCCGTGCGCCCGTGCAGCGATGCTGCAGCACGGGCATAATGGGGCTTGATGTGCCCGTGGTCGGTTGGCAGGGCCGGCAGCGCCACTGCAGTGTGCGCCTGCAGCGCGCAGGGTGGTATTGGGTCAGCAGGGAGGGTTGACAAGCATGTGTTAAAGTGCGGGCTGTTTACGGCATGTAGAGATTTTCTAAGCCAGAGGAGGTTTAGGCATACACCGAGCTGTCATAATGCGTACCCAGCCATGTACCCAAGACCCGACGTTGTTCTATCAACTGTAACTGCTTACGACACACCTACCCAGGCTGGGAAGGGACGCAGGCCGGCGTGGTGCATCTTAGTGTCGTAGTCCATCAGGAGCCCCCCGACGGCCTTGTTGATCTCCTCAAACACTGAGCCCGCGTCAAGGTCGTGGTCGGGCCGCGCAGTCAGGGACTTGCGCGTTGCCGTCAGCTGGGGGCTGCCCGACACAATAGCCTGGAGGCATATGCACCGGTCCAAGGGCGTCAAGATGCACATTAGCTTTATGGCACTAGACACAGGGGTTGCACATCATCGAAACACCGATCAAACGAAACATTTACCCGGGTCAGAGCCGTCTGGTTCCGTCTGCGGGCCGGAAGAGCCGTTGTCAGCTGCGCGAGCGCAGCGGCGCGCATGTTGTGCGCGGCAATCGCCTGCAGAGGCTGGCGGCGGTTGGATGTCCTGTAAGGCAGCTTGCACGTGCGGATGTGAGCGTTCTCGTACACAGCCGCCGAGTACTGGCTCGGTAACCCGGCGCGCCTGACAGACTCGGGCACGTGGGTGAGGAGGTGGACCTTGATTAGGTTCCACCCATCTCCCTCGCGCGGGAACACAGACTCCACAGTCTGTATCATCCTGGGTACACCAACCAATATCATATTAGCATTGGGAACGAAGAGACAACCAGCATTCTCCACCAGGGTTTACGCCTTACCTCTTTGTGGCCTGCTCGAAGTCTCCAAGGGACACGTCAGAGTGACTTGGAGCGCGCACACCAGACTCGTGCCACCCAAGCACAGTCACGAGCGCCAGCCTGTTGACGATCTCCCCCTCCCCCTCGAGCGCGAATGGTGCGAGCTGCGACATGGCAGCGCGGGTGGTCAGTCCCGCTCACAGTATAGCAACACACGGACGCAGCGACGGGCCGGTAAAACTATCTGTACAAAACGGCGTAATGCACCATCATGGCAGAGGCATGCTCGCTGGCGGTGAAGTTTGCGCCGCTGGCCCAGTAGCTGCCAGACCCGGGAGGGCAAAGTCCTGCCAGGCGAGTGTCGGGATACATGGTCTGCATGCGCCTGCCACGGAAGGACGGAGAGCAAAAAGAGTACGTTCATGAAAAACACCACGCCAGATAAGCGGGAATAGGTTGTTCAAATGCCATCGTCACATACTCATCCTTCCATCTTGCCATGGTGCCAGACCCCCGCAGGACACTCCGTATGTAGAGCTAAAAGCCGATGTAGATGGCGTGCAGGATGTCTGGCATTTGCGCCAGGTACGTGTTGCCCCACAGTGTACGGCTGAAGTTGAAATCCCACAAAAAGCTCTGTCATTAGGGAGTATGGGCAGGGATGGGCCGTCAGGTTACGTGAGCCTGGAAACGCAGGGACCACCGCCAACACACACATAAAGCCAACATATGCTGCAGGGACAGTGCGGTATAGTTACCGGGATTGGAATGGTCGAGTACTCCTTCGCCTCCGTTGGGTCACCAACCAACTGCTCCTGCTGCTGGACCGTGCGGTGGTCGGCTGGGTCCCGCTCCATGTCTCGGAGCTGACCTCGCCCCACGTAGCAGATAGAGCAAGGCATCGCCGATGCCAGTTGCTGCGTGCACGAGACCTTGCACGTCTCGGGGTAGTCAGCAACGTAGGAGAAGAGCAGAGGCACGAAGAAGTGGTCCACCCCTGTCGGATCCTTGGCTGCTAGTCCCCTGCCAATCCACGGGCACGGCGAAGGGAGGCGCGCACAGTGAGATGACATGCCAGTACCTAACACATGTGCAGGTTCTAGTAGCAATGGCCAGGGGCAAACGGACTGGCTGAGCTCTATAAAGAAAACGGTCTGAAACTTACGTGTGACTCGCGACGATAAGATCGGCCAGCACGATCTTCATCGTCGCCTGAAATAGCTCCACTTTCTGGGCCGGAGACATGTTATTCGGCGCGAACGGGAGCATCGCCAGTAGAATCTTCCCGCAGTCAAGCCATCGGCGCCGGAGAGGGATATTAGCGATGGAGATATACACCGCCCACACTCGAGTGCGCTCATTTCCGCTTAGAATCGTCGCGTCGCTCGAGAGAATGAGCGGAACCACCACCGCTCCAGGCCCATACTCCGCCTGTGCCGCCGTATGCGCATTTTCCCAGAATGTTCCGGTCTCAGGAGTCGTGTACACACGCCCAGCAGCTGTGTTCACCTGGCGTGGCTGGAGTACGAACCCTTCGGCGTTCTCTGGATTCCCAAGTAGCTCGATAACGGCCTGCATGCAGTGACGATCCACGATTCATATAGTGTTCGCCCACTACTGATTTAGTGAGCCCCTTTACGGATATACGGGATCAGCGTGAACGTTCAACTTGCTTACCTCCGTCCCGCTAGTGCGAACCACCTGGAACGTGTCGTCCCATCCAGGAATGGTGAACGTGGTCGTCTCGTAGTTGCGCCTAGACATTAGCAGGTTCATGCCGAACCGTATCACGGCGTACAACGTGCGCCAATGTCGGATACGCTCCAGCTCAAGGCGCTCATCGCGCAGAAGGTTCAGCAGCCACACCGTACTCTCGTTCGAGAGACCCGCATCATTGTTGCAGCCGACTATGAAGCGGAACACCTCCATAAGCGTGTCGAAGTTGTCCTCTGGCCGAAACGTGCCCTCGGGCGCACTCTCCTTGCCATCCAGTAGCGCAGCACCATGTGCTTCCTCGTCTGAAGAGGCACCGTCAGCTTCGACCGACTGCCTGTCGTCGTCGCTTGACACCTGCACATGGTAAAAAAAAACAAGGCATCATCCAGGTTTGTGTTCACTGATGAAACTCCACTGGCTATGGCTTGTGTTTCCCGCCAACTTACCGCCTCCTCCTGCTCCGTGGCCGTTGCACGTTCGACGGCGCCATTGTCGTCGCCGTCGTTAAGCTCGGGCATGTCATCATCAGACTAAGACGACTGATACTGGTCATCGTCTCCCTCGCTATCACTGTCGCCAGGAGTAGGAGTCGAATTGATAAAGCGAGAAGCAGCTGTGATGCAGGCTCCAGCTCTGCGCTTGTGGGAAAATAACCCCGTGCGCGATCGAAACCGGTTGGAACACCACTCGCAGGCGTACAGCGACCCCTGCGTAGGCATTGGAAACCCTAGGAAGGGCGCACCATACACGGTAAAGGGGTTGGCGTTGATGGGGATGTGCCGTTGGCGAGAGCTCCGACGTTCTATTATCGCGTGAACCAGCACTCTTATTCTAGCTCAAAACGGTATTGCTGGTTAATCTGAGTCACTAGATTCATACGGGTGTATGAAACCACGCCAAGTTATCCCAACGAATCCAAACCTGTGACACCATGCACTTCCATTGGTCGGGTGAGTGGTGAATGTTGTGAGGGGAGGGTAGGGAGACGAGCAAGGCGCTCGAATACGGTCGCTTCATAGATGGCTGTCACGATGGCTGTCGCGCGAGTTCGTTCAGTCACGGTCGCAGCGACGTCGCGCGGTGCGCGTCGCTGCTGCTCGCCTGGCGTGCCGCGTGGCCCCACCGCCGTTCCGCCAGCCGCGCGTGCAGCCGCGTGGGCGCCACTGAAGCGGCAGCTGCGCGCTTGACGAGGCGGGCGAGATGCGCGTGTTCACGCGGCAGCGCCGTTGGCGGGCCCCACGAGTGGTGGAGGGATGCGCGGGACGGAGGTACGGAGTGATGCGAGGCGGCCGGCCCATCCCCGCGCGCAACACACCCATCTCCGATCACCGCCCCGCTCCTACCAACCTCCCCTGCCTGCTTCGCCACCGCGCGTATCGTTGCGCGCGCTGCCCGTCTGCCCGCCATCACTCGCTCGCGCGGGCCGCCATCGTTCTGCGCAACTCCCCCCTCGCGCCAACACCGCCCGTCCAACGCGTGTCGCACAATATGTTAGTATCATCCTCATCCCCCCCATTTCTTTCCGCCCATCCCTTCCACTCAGTTTTTTCCGCCCATCCCTTCCGCCCATTTCTTTCCGCCCATCCCTTCCGCCCATTTCGTTCCCCCCATTCCCTTTCTCCCCCTTCCTTCCCCCTACTGTCCCCCCTCCTGCCCCCCTCTTTTCCCCCTCCTTTCCCAAGCCTCTCCCCCTCATTTTCCCCTCCTTTACCCCTCCTCTCCCCCTCATTTCCCACTCATTTCCCCCTCCTTACCCCTTCCGCCCTCCTGCGTTTGTGCCGCATCTGCCCCTTTCCCCCACCTTTCCCCCCACCTTCTTCCCTGTTTCTCCTCCTTTCCCCGTCATCATCCTTTTGCCCTCCTTTCCCTTTCATGCCAGCATCACTCTTCCCTCCTTTTTCCCCCTCCCGTACCCCCTTACCCCCCGCGTGCGCCCCCCCCCCCATGCCGCGCTGCAGGCGGCACTCTGGCAGGCGTGCCACTGCCTGGGCGCCCCCCAGTGCGGCGGGGCGCCATGCAGGGGAGGCCACGGCATCACCGCTCATGCACGCACCCCTCCTTCCGCCCTCCCTGCCCCTCCTCCGCCCTCCTTTCCCCCTCTCTCTCCCCCAATTCCTCTCCTTTCTCCCTCCTGCCCAACGCTTCCTGCCCCCCTCTTTCCCCCTCCTTTTTCCCTCCGTTCCGCCTGCTTCCCCTCTCCCGTCCCCCTCTTTTTTTCCTCCTTTCCCCCTCCGTCCCCATCCTTCCCCCTCCTTCCCTCTCCTTTCCTCCGATTCCTCTCCATCACTCCTCCTTTACCCTCCCTTCACTCTCCTTCTTCACCCCCCTTTTCCCCTCCTCCCCCCCCTTTGTTCCGCCCCCTTTCCCCATGCTGCCCCCAGCCTGCCGCCCGCCTGCCCTGCTGTGTGCTCTGAAGGCGCCAGTGCTGCGGAGGAGGGCAGGGGAGGGCACCGCCTCCTATTCCTCTGCCCTTCTCCTCCTTTCCCCTCCTTTCACACTCCTTTCTCCGCTCCCTTCTTCCTCCTTTCCCCGCCTTTCTTCGCTGCCTTCCCCCTGCTGCCGCGCTGCAGGCGGCAGGGGTGCAGGCGGCGTGCAGGGAGGGCGGGAGCGGGGAGGCAGGCAGGCGTGGTGTCTACGGGGCCCACCACTCGCCCTGCCACCACACGTGCTGCTCCTCAGCCCCTCTTTCCTACCGCTTGCCCACTCCCCCCCCTCCCTCCTCGCCATGCCCCATCTCCATGCCGCGCCATCCACTCCCCACATCACCCTGCATGCCCCCACCCCCCCTCGCCCTCTCCCCACCGAGCCGCTCGCACTCCCACGCGCACCAGTCGCCCCTCCACGGCGTGTCCCCTCTCAGCAGTCAACGCCGTGAGCTGGGCCGCGGTGCCCCGTCACTTGCTGCTGCACCTGAGCACCGCCTGCACGCTCACATCCCCCTCACCAGTCGCTACACAAGCCATCGTGCCAGCACCTCATGGGAAAACCTCAACTGCCATGCCTGCATGCACCTCATGCCGTGTGCCTCTAATGCATCGCCAAGCACCCTTCCTCTTCCTTGTCATGCCAATTGCTACAAGCCATGCGCAACAAAACTTCGATTCATATTGTATATTAGATAGCTAGGCATGTACACTGGATTTGCCACCTACAGCAGCAGCGTTGCATGTGATCTTGCCTAGTTTCATGGCAGCACCTATTTGTGTCCTACTGTATTCCTATACATTAATCTTCCCACAGCAGCATGACCGGCAGGAGCCATTGTTGAGTTGTGGCATTGAGAGCACAGCAGCAGCACGGTAGAGCAGAGTGGTCCTCGAAGCACAGCAGCAGCAACAAGAGTCTTTTTTCAGAACAGCACCACACCACAGCTTTGCCTCACCCCCTCCAACCGTCAACTGCCCACCCACACTCCCACAAACACCCTGCTGTGAAGCAGGGCGCAAAAAAAGGTAGTGCCACCGTAGTGTTCCACCCCACCTCCACAACTCCCTCCCCCCTCGCTGCTCTCTGCGCGTTGCTGTGCCTCCCTACGCGTACCTGCCTTCCATCCCATTCCCATACTGTGGAACCGTACTCTTAACCAATCACTTGTTTGTTTCCTTGATTTTTTTTTTTCGTTTTTTCCTTTCCCTTTTTTTTTCCTTTTATTTTCCATGCAAGCAGCAGTCAAGGCCGCCATGGGCGCCGTGGGAGGGCAGCCAACGCGGCCTTGGACGTTCTGCGAGGCGGCTTGACTGCAGCTTCAGCGTGCACTGCCCTCACCTCCCTGTGTGGAACAACACATTTCGGCCGCGGAATCAGACTCGCTCCCTCCACGCGCCGCCTAGGCGCTCCATTGTTGCTTGGTTTGGGGATGCGCGACGGTGGTGCTACTGATCTCGTTTCCGCAGCCTTGGTGCGACCACCTGACGGGCTCGACACGCACGCGACCAACGCACGTGATTCCGACGCTGCTGACTCCGACGCTGCTGATTCCGACGCTGCTGATTCTGTCGCAGCAGATTGAGTCGCAGCAGATTGAGTCGAAGCACATTTCGTCACAAAGAAATTGGCGCCCTTCAGGGGCCACAAGCGTAGGTATGCCAGGGTGTGTTGGGGGGGCCCATCTCAATTGTATGCCACGGCAGTCTTAAATCACTGTCGAAACAGGTGAAGCCCTCTCCCAGGCATCGCAGGTATTGCAGTTGAGGAAACTCTAGGGTTTCCCAGTTGTCAATGATTCATGTACCCGGGCGCTCTGGTAACAGTTGTAATATTATTTCATAGTACACAGAGAGCACAGGCAATATAGCGCCATGATCACAACTTATAGGCATATATGCCAGAACGATCCTACCATACTAACACGCACGGCATATCAAGAACAACGGCTCCAGCATAAAAAAAAGGGCCTTCACACGAGCCTCAGCACACGGGAGAGAGTTTATAGCAGGACCAAAGCTCGATCCAGCCTGCCATGCCGGTGAGCTGGAAATGTCTGCGTCGGCCGCTGCATTTGTGATCGGCAGCGCACCCCTGTGTGATCCCCTTCTACTCCACTTCCTGATTCACCAAATAGGCCCACTTGTTCAGGAACCACACGTCCTTCTGCTCGAAAGAAGGGACGCAGTGCACGGCGCGCTGGAGCCGGTCGATGGGGACGACAGTCAGCCCGCGATACAGCGATGGCGGGCCAAGCACCTCGCAGCCCGTGCACTCATCGAGCCCCTGCTGGCTCAGCCGCTGCAGCACAGCCACCTCTGCAGGCTCGTAGCTGCTATCGTCCAGCGGCCTCTCTGCATCCAGCAGCAGGATCAGTCGGCCGTACACGGTACGGCCAGCAGAGGACAGGTACTCCACGCAGGAGAAGGCCATGTGGCCATGCAGAGATGCAGCGGCCCGTGCGTAGTGGGGCCGGATGTGCCCATAGTCAGTGGGGAAGGCCGGCAGCGCCACCGCCGTGTGCGCCTGTGGGATTCGCGGGTTCGGCGGCAAGCAAACGGTACACTGGTTAGCCATGTTAATAAGGCTGGTTGCTTGTAGCACGGAGCGGAGTGGGGGAAGGGGGAAGGGGGGCAGCAAAGGCCCTTCTAGAGTGAGAAGAGTGCCTATTCATGACTGGGTTTACTAGCGCAGGGTACGCATGTGAAACCCTGGAAACATACAGGATTCATGGGTCCAGCGATCAGCCATATATCGCGTGTATGGAGCGACACATACCCACGCCGGAAACGGCCTCAGCCCAGCGTTGCGCATCGCGGTGTCGTAGTAGTACAGCAGGCCGCCCACCGCCAGGTTGATGTCCTCAAAGACTGACGCCGCGCTGCTCTCGTGGTCGGGCCGTGCAGTCAGGGACCTCCGCGCGAGCGTCAACTGTGGGGTGCCCGTGGCGATCGCCTATGCGCAGTTGCATCAACGCGTAGTGAGCAATAGGGTCAGGCGCACATCAACCCAAAAGTAATATCAACAGAGGCTTAGCAGGACGAGGCGCAGCTACCAGTACTTGAGTTACACACCCGGGTCAGCGCGGTCTGGTTGCGCCTGCGTGCTGGGAGAGCAGAGGTCAGCTCGCCCATCGCAGAAGCGCGCACGTTGTGGGCGGCGATGGCCTGCAGAGGCTGGCGGTGATTGGAGGTTCTGTAGGGCAGCTTGCACGTGCGGATGTGTGCGTTCTCGTACACTGCCGCGGAGTACTCCTGTGGGAGTCCACCTCTCCTGACAGCGTCCGGCACGTGAGTGAGAAGGTGGACCTTTATCAGGTTCCACCCATCGCCCTCGCGCGGGAACACTTCCTCGACCGTCTGAACCATCCTGCAGACACAAACACACTCAGTTCAGAATGACTGAACCGTAACGAGGCCGCGCAACCGCAAAATCCCAAGCTTTACCTCTTTGTGGCTTCTTCAAAGTCACCGAGTGACATGGAGCTCTCACGTGGGACTCGTGCCACTGGAGCACCGTGACCAGCGCCAGCCTGGACACGACATCCGCCTCGCCCTCGATTGCAAACGGCGCAAGCTGTAATATTGGCGGTATCCATGTCAGACCAGCATAACACACGACTGTGAATAACCCCACACGCGAGTACATGCGTTGTGCCTAAGGAGAGCGTGTTGACTCACCATCATCGCCGATGCATGCTCGCTTGCTGTGAAGTTGGCGCCGCTGGCCCAGTAGCTGCCAGAGCCTGGAGAGCGAACGCCTGCCAGGCGAGCGTCGGGGTACATCTGCTTCATGCGCCTGCCACCATAGCGTCCATACCGAACGTACTCAAGCCTTGTGAACAGGAAAATACATACACGACAAGGAAACACCAGGCATGCTCCCCTCGGTACTTACTCATCCTTGCGCCTGGCGCTCATGGCGCTGCCGCGCAAGACGCTTCGGATGTACAGCCAGAAGCCGATGTATATCGCGTGCAGAATATCGGGCATCTGAGAGAGGTACGTGTTGCCCCACACGGTGCGGCTGAAGTTGAAGGCCCACAGGAAGCTCTGGAACGTTTGTAAGGGGATGGGGACGAGCGAACAGCGAACACTACCCACCAGGGTCAGACGGAAGGGTCAACAAGCCACACAATACCCACAGTGGTGTACAGTAGGATTGACTTACCGGGACAGGAATGGTCGAGTGCTTCTTCGCCTCGTTGAGGTCGCGCAGCAGAGCTTCCTGATCTTCCACCGTACGGTGCTTGGCCGGTTCGCGGTCCATGTCTCGAAGGTCGTCCCGCGCCACGCAGCATAGAGAGCATGGCATCACAGAGCCGAGCTGTTGCGTGCAGGAGACCTTGCAGGTCTCTGGATAGTCGGCCACGTATGAGAACAGCAAGGGTAGGAAGAAGCGTTCCTCCCAGTTCGGGTCCTTGGCCGACAGTCCACTGCCCAGTGTGGGGGGTGTCGACACAACGTAACTGACAGATGCAACGGAGGAGATGGGATTCGCACATGGCGCGACCGAGTGGTACTTACGTGTGGCTCGCGACGATGAGGTCCGCGAGTACGATTTTCATGGCGGCCTGGAACAGTTCCACCTTCTGTGCGGGTGTCATGTGCGCCGGCGGAAACGGGAGCATCGCCAGGAGCAGTTTCCCACAGTCCATCCACCGCCTCCGCAACGGGATGTTTGCGATGGAGAGGTACACCGCCCACACTCTCGTGCGCTCGTTACCGCTCAGAATCGTGGCGTCGCTCCAGAGGATGAGTGGAACAACCACAGCGCCCGCACCATACTCCATTTCTGCCGCCACTTGAGCGTGCTCCCAGAAAGACGCGGTCTCGGGTGTGGTGTAGACCCGTCCCGCAGCACTGTTCACCTGCCTCGGCCGCAGCACGAACCCATCCGCGTTTTCCGGGTTCCCGAGAATCTTGATTAAAGCCTGCGTGCATACACATATGTCTCGTTACGCCTAGGTTTAGGCAAAATCTAAATGAAGGCATGTCAGATGCGAGCTTACCTCTCGCCCATTTGCTCGTATCACTTGGAACTCGCCTTCCCATCCGGGAACGGTGAACGAGATGGTGTCGTACTGTCGCTGCGACATGAGCAGCGCCATGCCGAACCGTATGACCGCGTAGAGAGTTCGCCAGTGTCGAATGAGCTCCAGGTCCAGACGCTCGTCCCGCAGCAGGTTGAGAAGCCACACAGTACTCTCATTGGAGAGCCCAGCGCCATTGTTGCAGCCCACAATGAAGCGGAACACCTCCATGAGGGTGTTGAAGTTATCCTCGGGTCGGAACGTGCCCTCCGGCGCACTTTCATCGTCGTCTACAGCCGCGGTAACGTCTCCTTCCTCGTCAGAAAAAGGATGATCCTCCTCGTCTGACTCAACGTCCTCGTCGTCAGTGTTCTGGAGGGCAGAGCATGGCGATAAATAAAACGTCGGTACAGAGGCAGGAGCAGTACTACCCGCATGCTCGATAACGGCGAAATATGCGCTTACCTCAGCTGTTCCATCCGCACGCAGCTCGACCTCGTCGTCCGAGTTAAGCTCGGGCATTTCATCGTCAGTGTCTGGTTCGTCGGCCGCACCGCCCGCAGTGCCGCCATATCCAGGAGTTGACCTTAAAAAACGCGAAGCCCGCGCTATGCATACTTCCTTCCGACGCTTATGTGAAAACAAGGCCGTGCGAGAGCGGTAGTGGTGCCTACACCACTCACAGGCGTACAGGGCCGATTGCCGGGGCATTTGAAACCCCAGGAGAATGATTGCATGAGGGTACCGAGGTTGTTGTTGGTGAGGATGTGCCCTTGGCGAGGCAGTACCATGTTCTTTTAACGCGTGCTGTACCCTATTTATAATTCGTCCTATGAATTATGTAGGCATGGCTCTGGTACGACAAGCACGAGATTGATGCAGAGTGTAGGGCATCCAGGCGGGGATATCAAAACGAATCCCGATTTGTGCCAATTTCGCGTGGCATTGGTCACTGGAGTTTCCAACCAGGACAGGGGGCCGAACTCCCACGGATACCGTCAGGGTTTGGACTACGATTGGCCCGTAACGGGATGAGGCGGATCTCCCCACCTCATGCCAGCTAATAGAAGCATGACAATGACACGGATAGCCTGACCAAATACGCTGACTTGGATAGGGGTGAGAGCGAGTGTTGCGAAACAGACCAACCGCGATACGTTACCGTGCTCATGCGTTTTCGAGCGTTTCGCAATGTCGTCGGAAATCCAGACCGCTATTACCCAAATGCAAGGGCGTCAATTTCACAGCCAGGTCCAGGCAATGTCTCTCATTCAGTCAGACATTCGGAAATTTGCAATTCTGGACATGGCGCCCGAGATTCCCAAAGGTGCTGGTACGGGAACACGTGGTTGGCGCAGCGCAAGGGATGAAAGTCGCAGATATGAATCAACAAGATACGCCGGGCCTAGGTGGCCAAGAGAGCGCAACTGTCACACCCGCCCGCCTTCTGTGGCTGTCCTTGTTCGCGACTTCCCGGAGGTTGCGGCAGTGCTGATGCAACAAGAATTCACGCGCATCATCGATAATGGTGACGATCCATCGCCGCGTAAGCTGACGAGCAGCGTCAAACATCTGGTGCCGTCCCGTCATACCCGTGCTGCTACTCAAAGGGGTGAAGCCGTAGATGCGCTGCGAGCTGCACGAGGCGACGGGCACGGTGTGGAGCTGTCATTCATCGACAACGCATGCATTCTGGCCGTGTTGCGCGATGCTCGTGACCCCGCAGCCGTCCACTCGCTGGCTGATGCGTTCTTGCGCGTGGTTCGAGGTGGACACCGGAAAGTTAATTACAACGCTACTTGTCTGCACGATCTGGAGGCGGCACGGCCGCCGGTGCATGATTATCAAACCTACCTCATGCACTTCGCAATGAGCGAAGGGTGGGTGGTGAGTATCTCACATCGTCGTTTTATGGCATATCACTCCAGCGCCTCAGACACATCCTCACGTTTACTTGTGCAGCTAGAGAATGGCCGCTACAACTTCTATCGCGCAGAGGATGCGAGGCGTATCTACTGTCAATTTAAAATACAGCAGCCCAAGCTCTACCAGTACCGTCAATTTTCACATGTTGGCGGCTCGGACGGTATTGGCGCAGACATTTTGGCGCACGCTCTGGGCATGCTTGCCTGGTGGGAGATTCCAGCTGTAGATAGGTTGTTTTGGTGGGGGAACATGGGGAAGAACATGTGCGTGTATCCATGGGACATTCCATCAGGCGTAACAGAGCTGCCATTGTATCGGCTAGTGTACCAGGACTACGACCTTAATCGCCCTGATGATGATCTGCCCGATTTTTACCTCTGAGCTAGACGGGGAAAGCTCAGACTTGTGTGTTTCACGCGCTAGCTTATTAATTCGAACTCCAGTGTGTCTTTGTCCGCGCCTTTAAAAACGGTATTATTACTCATTCGTACGTCAGGCATGCAATCCGAACACTCTACCCTGAACCGCTGGCAGAGAACGGGAAAATCACAGTCACGACGTCCTTCACATAACCCCACTCTTTGGTATACCGCGCAAACCCGGAAGGCCATGCCGGATTGGCTGCTAACACGGCGTTCAAGCCGTATGGCACGATCGGACCACATCTGACGCGTCAAAATGTGTGCTCAGCACACGCGTGGGGACGACGCGCATTTCCTTCCCGCGCAATCTCCTAACCAACCGGCATTCATAGCTGGGTAACATCGTTGCGTCTGCACGGGGTTTATTTTCCGCGCTGGCATAGATATTCTCACCTGTCGTCGATGATGAGTGACGTAGACTGCGTCCGGCTTCCCCATTGGCGCGATAGGATATTTTTGCGACACTGACGCAGACCTTATCCTACGGACGCCCCAGCGAAGCCTGTATTATTATATTAGTGAACCATTGCATTACACTTTCATAAGTTACGGTACCACTACTATTCACGCCCATCACAGTTCATCATGGACCCTGCACCGTCTCCGTACTCACCTCTCAGGCGCTCTGGCAGGAGCAATGCCGGCGTGCGGAACTCCAGTGACGACATGGTGTACTATGGCCGTGGCACGCAATCCCCCCGCGCTGACGGACGTCCGGGTCGCGTTCCATCTGCCTCTGAAGACACGACGCCTGTCAACGAGTCGCGTGCGGAAACGGAGACCGAGTACCTCCAGTGGGCGGACCGCCAGGACGACCGCCTGGATGTGGAGGACGATGACGACGTGGAGGATACCTGGATGCCCGAAGAAGAACCTGTTGGCGAGGAGGTTGAAGGTAAGTATATTATGGGCATCCCTGCTTGGGCATGTGTGTTACCGTTTTGTGCCGGGTCGGTATCCTTTGCGCTGATTCGGCCCGCGCCGTTTACCCTCTCGCCCTGCAGCTGATGGGCGCGAGCACCGCCCGATGTCAGAGGTGATGGCGTCCTCGAGCCAGGCAACTGCAGGCGAGCAACGTCCGCGTGGGCGAGGGCAGACTAACAACCGTCGCACTGCTGGCACCACCAACGCGCCAACGACGGCTGAAGTCTCGATCGACGCTGCGATCGCCGCCCGGATCGCGGAGCAGGAACGCCGTATCCACGAGCTGAACCAGACCATTGCCGGGCTCGAGGGTAATCGCGGGCCGGTCAGGAGCCCTTCCCGTGCACGTGACACGCCTCGGGCCGCTCGCGCACGTGAAGCGCCATTGGATGAGCCCGCACCAGTGCGCCAGCGCACAGCTGCGGCCCGCGCCGCCGGGCGGCAAGCTGAGGTAACTGGCGAGGCAAGGGCGCCGATGGTGGAAGCGGCGCTCGCCAGGGAGATTCGACGTGCCAACACGGGGAGTCGAGCAACTCCTGGTCTGGTCAACTGGGCCGACCGACTTCAGGAGTGCCACGTGTTTTTCCCGAACATGGACGACGGTTGGAAGGTTAGTGCGTGTGCGATTCGGGGTTCCACTATTCTAAAAAGGGTGCGTGTGTGTGGATGGCAGCAATGATCTGATATATATGCTCCTGCACGTTCTCGCTTGCCCTTGTATCCCAGGCTGCGGTCGAGGACCTGATTAAGATTCTGACATACGACACGTCGGTCGCCCAGCTGACTTTTTGGATGCCGCCCGCGCTGCTCGAGCGTCTCCTGGCGCGCGCGCTGCGGATCACTAGCCAGGCTCACCGCACCATGCTCCATATGCTGCTGGCGCACGACGAGAAGCGTGCCGGGTGGATTACTCGCCGAATGCAAGTTTGGCGCAACACTAAATGGGAGCAGGGACGAGCTTACGTGTACATCCTGCATGAGTACCGTATAACGCTGGCTCCAACCCCCGCATCTCCCTGCCTGCAACCCCAAGCGCAACTGAGGTGCCTCGCATTACGCGCAAGCAATTCATAGAGCACCACCCTGCCGGTGAGCGTGGGTCCAGTTGATTGCATTAGCCCTGTTTCAGGCATGCCTTTTTCTAACCGCCGTGCTTTGTGTGTGTTTCCTGATTCAGGCAATGCGACGTTCGAGCTGCACCCCTGGCATCGTAACGCGGCTGGCATTCCGTTTGCTACGGAAAAGTTTGAACGCTCGATTTTCGCGTCATTCCGGCGCCCGGTTCCGCCGCCGCTAATCCTGCGCACCTATCACGTCGCCTTTTGGCTGTTCGGGGTAAGTGCAATCCCGTGCACTAAGCAGATGATGTTATTCCAAGCGTGTGTGCTAAGTTTATGCTACCTGGTTTGTGCAGGTTGAGTTCCCGCTTGTCAGCGGCGGGACTATGAAGCGCAGCGCACCCCAGAACGAGGAGGGTGTGCGCTGGTATCATGAGCGAGTGAAGCGCTGGATGCACAGCGTGATACTCCGCCGCACCACCGAGCACGGCCCGTTTTGGGATTCCGAGCGGCGCGGTTGGAGCTTTCGCCGCGACAGCGTCCTTCGCATTCTCGAGGACGGAATGGAGCACCTGTCGCCCACGCTGCCCGCTGTCGCCCAGGCTCCAATTCCGCCTGTTACCCCGCGCGCGGGGATAGCATCGATTGAAGTGGCAGGTGGGATTTTGGATTTCGCTTTGTCCTGCGACGGGTCGCAAGTGTCGCAGTCAGGTGTAGCCCGCGTGTCATTGCAATGTTTGCACTGGCCCAGGCGACACGGGCGCCAGAGTATGTGTGTCGTGAGACTGTGTGACTCGGTCGTATGATGTGTGTTGTCGCTTGTGTGTTTTGATGGCTGCATGTAATAGAGTAGTCCCTATAAATAAAATATTTAGAAAGCTTGCTTTCTTGCATGTAGCAATGGGTTTAGTACAATTGAAATCCATAGTGATATTACAAAGATATGCCTCTATGTTCCTACGGCTATCCTGTTTCCGAGGGGGGGGGGGGGGGGCGGGAAAATCGGCTAAACCGTTTGAAAATGAGAGACGTGGGTGGAGGGAAATGACCTCCAGCCCACGTTTTGTACTCCAAAACGGGCGTTTAGCGCGGCTCGACGCTGCCAAATCCTACATTACAAGCAGCTTCGCTTTCAAAATACATAATTTTGATAAGCGTTACAGCTTTTAAAAATATACATATTTAGAAAGCT